GTTTTCGTCAGGTAGTTTTGAGCAAAAACTTTGCCAATTATTGAGCTTAACATTTAGATTCGAACAACTTGAAAATTTGAGTCGACCATCGAACGGCGGCGTCGAACCTTTCTAGGTTTTTTCAAAGAAGCTCTGGTTTCAGCAAAATTGAGCACAAACATTCCGTTAATTACGTTACGAAAGTCGAAACAAAAATTGATTACCGCTTTCTAAATGCTTTCAAACTTGCAGTCTTGATAACTCAAACTAAAGAGATTAGACTAACGCAAGGATTAGCAGTCTTCAATGGCTACGCGTTGTGTCAATTCCTGTATAACCATTGTAACAACCGTTGGAAAAACGTAAGCAGCAGTTATCTCAATTGAAAAATTGATTAGCAAGTTACAAAAACAATTGTTTTGTTTCATTTGTTTAATTTCTGGGAAAGGTCCCCTATTGCAATAAACAGTAACGATTTTAGGGACGGAGAGAGAAAGAGAGAGGTTTGGGGCGTTTAAACTAACCAAGAAAGGCTCAAACCGTTGTTTTGTCCTATTTTTGTAAGAACATGTTTATAGTGTGATAGGAGAGCTCGTAAAACTACCAAGTTGGTCGAAAAATTCTTTTCGTTTGAAAAAAATTCCGCCTCTCGTTCGTTAAAAGCCTTGTTCCGCGCCTGAAATAAAAAAAACTCCCAAGATGTTTTTCTAGCTTCTCACATGCGCGAAAGCAAGTGTCTTGTTATTGGGAACTGGAATATTTTTTCCCGTAACCAATTTTCCATAAAAATCTGTAAAAAAATGAGCTTGATAAGTTATTGCACATCATTGACTTTGATTTTTGCTGCGCTTTCAGTACATTTGTAAGTAGCTGCAAGTTTTGTTGTTTTACTCCTTTGTTTTTCAATTTCTAACCTTAATTTTGTTAAAATACCAGCCCTCAGAAAATTTTACTTTTTAAAATTTTTTCAATTAAAACCCTGTTTTTACTTATAGATTCGGCTATTGCTTTTTAGGCTCGGTCAACTTATTTTCTGCTATTAAGGGCATAATTTGATAATATTAAAAATATTTTTGATTGGTTGTGATATAAGAGGACAAAATTGTTTTAGGGCAATCTATTGTGTTCGGCTTGGTGAATGACTAACTTTTTTGTCAACTGGTTGGCCGCTCGGTAAAAAAAACAAAAAATTTCCAATTTTGTGCTTGGGTTTTTCGACTGTTTTTCTAAATTTATTTGTTTTTCAGTTTGACCGATTAAATTAAATTTTTATCAAAATATTTTACGACTTTAAGAATTCCGTCCCATTTTCAATTCACCAGTTTGTTGAATGAAGTACTTGACAATATTGTTGGGCGTCCCTGTATTTTCATCGACTTAACAAACAAGGTAAAGCAGTAAAGCGACTACTTTTGACGAGATATATCAAAGCAACGTATTTCACATAGCTGGATTGATGAAATGTCCTTGGTGAATGTTTTTGAATTCTGGTGAGGTCTAAATCTCAAGCTTTGATAAAAGAATTTGGGAGCAGTGGTGAAGTGGTTATTGTCTCCGCCTCTCAATCCGAAGGTCGGATGTTCGAGGCCCACCATGATCCGTGCTCGTTGCTTGAGGGTGAGGCAACATTACCCAGCCCAGAAAAATAACCAAAAAAATTGCATGTAGTTCTTAAGCAGGGGCACAACAGCGGTTCGCCGTGATGAGCTGTACAGCTCGTATGTTGGTCCTATCCCTCGTGGATAAATGATCTTAAATCTTAAATTTGAGTTGTGATCCTAGAATTTGTGTTTTGAATGCTGAGTTTGAACCTGGCCGCAGTGTTGCGCTAAAACTCTCTTACGATATCTCTTAAGCTTGCCTTTCTCGCAGAGCTTTTTTGTAAAACAATCTTTCAAATGAGACCAAAGTGCCCTCCAAATAAATTTAAAAATTTTCGAACTCAAAATTTATTGTAACTGAATTTGTTTTCGGGGTGGTAAACCAAATTGGAATATCTGGGCGGCGTGGAATAATTGAAAAATAAGCTTCAATAACTCCACTTTTCCAATCAAAAATCATCAACCTACTTATTTCAAGTTTTCTAGCTAAGGATTTTTCTATTGGTTAAGTTTTTCCCTGTTTCATAACAAAAGCCCAATAGCAAGAAGGAAAAAATTTAGACTAGTTTGTGACTAGTTTGAGCACTTAAATGGGCTGATTCATCTTGTTTTTTTTCCGCGATGACTTTGTGATTCATACACATTCCTCTTTTCTGGTTCTCAAGGTAACCAATAAAATATTTTAGAATTCCTCCGCTTTTGAGAAGATTTTGTTGAAGAAAAGTCACTAGAGAAAACAAAATGATGACAAGCTACCAATTATTCAAATTCAGGTCGATTTCTCAATTAGTTTTTAATTTGAGTCAGTGTTCTTAGTAGTTTAAGTTCGGAGACTTACAAGCATTTGGAATTAGGTCCGCATTGCGGAATCCAATGCGAAACGTATAGTTTTTTTTCCTGGCGCTTGTCTCAAAGAAGTTAAGAAACGTTCAAATCAGAATTGTTTTTTTTTTCCGTTTGATTCTTTTATTACCGTCTTTTACAATTGCATGCTCTTTAGCTGTTTAAATGCTGAAAACTGTTGTTTTGCTCGCAAGCAACGAATGAACATTGATCATAAGAAACCTTTCACTTTTTGACTGAAGACGGAAAACTAAGTCTAACGTAGCTGTTTTACTATCCCTCATTTTTTACTGATTTGGTTTTTTAGTGAAATTGAGTTTCTTTAAATTTGAACTCATTTGAGAAGCCCCAATGTTCCTTCTTTTCTTTAAGAACAAATAAAAAAAACTTTTGAATGTGAAATTGAAGGACTAAACAAAAAAAAAACTGATTTTTCCGGTTTATTCCTTCTCAAACTACAAAGGAAGATGTTTGAAGTCTTGTATTCTAATATAAAGACCAACAGACTGGTGTAATCCAATTTGGAACGCACTCATCCGCCACTTACGCGTGTTCTAAGAACGCAAAATTTGAGCATTTTCCCCCAAATTGGCCAAATTAGCCAAATTAGCCATTTTTAAACCCATAACTTTACAAACAATAATCACAGGTAAAACTACTTTTTGATTTAAGCTCCAAACAACAGTAAGTTTCAGATGGTATAGAAATTCAGTCAAAATGCTTAGTTGAACAGTCAAAAAACCACTCAAGCATGAAAATTTCTCATTTTTCTAGGAAGATATGAACAAAACTTTCTGCAGATTAGAGTTACTCGCTTTAGATGTGCAGAATATGGAGAAAAATAGATAATCGAAAGTAGATTTGCAAATAATTCGAGTATGTTACTGAATTCAACTGAGAACAGTTAATCTCCTGTTTTTGAATTCTGCAATGTATTATTTTTGCTAAGAACTGATATACTTACTTATAAAAATCCATTGAGCACCGAAACATCTCGGTTTTGAAATAAGCTTCGAAATGTGAGTCATTTGGGTTAGGTCTGAAAAAGTCAAATAACTACAAAGTCTCAATTACTTATATGAAAACTAAAAAGCCCTGTTAATTGGAATAAGAATAGGTTATGATTTCGTAGGATTTTATTAAACTAGTTATTAAGAGTCGATAAACGTAGTTCAGACTTTTATATAGATCGCGATATTTTTTTCGTTAATTTTTTCAGGAAAAATCATAAAAGTTATTCAGGCTCAATTTTTTTTTGTGGCCTTGCCCTTGATTTTTTTTCACATTCTGTTCTTTTTTTTTGTTAAAAGGAGGGCAAATTCCACTATTGAACTGCAAAAGCGTAAAAATAAAAACAATCGTTTCGAAATTGAAATTCAATAATTTTTTAGTTTTAGACTTCAATGAAAATTTTAGCTATTGAGCCAGCTTTCTCAAATTGGTTTAGTTTTATCAAAAAATTATTACTCATAAACTGTTCTGGAAATTCAAAGAGCTTTAAGGACATCTATTTTTTTCTTTGAATTTTGTAAATTGAAGTTTTTTCAAAAAAGTAAATCAGTAGTTTTTGGCTTATTTGCATTCATTCACTTTTTTCAAACGGCCTAATGGCTCTTTTTTAATTGTGTTTCTCAGATTCTAAGAGGATTAACCGAAAACTGAGCAGTGTGTATGATGGTCAGTTGCGTGTTTTTTGTTTCTAAAACTGAGTTTTTTGTTGAGCTAAGCTCACTAAAGCGACTCAAGGCCTATTTTCGTGTAGCACTTCCTGTTGGTATTACTATTTTAGCCCACATTACCCGTGTTGAAGTTAATCTGAGGCTAGCGATCAAGTGAGAGTTCGCTTTTTTGCACACTACCAATGCCATGGCACGTAGTCAAAAGTACAAGCTGAAGGTCGGAAGATTTTCCAATGAAGACATCAGAAACAAAAATTTCCACTTTTAAATTTTTTACAATAATGTTTTGTACTTTATCGACGTTGATTTACTCTCAATTGTTATTTTCCGACAAAAAAGTGCTTTTGTAATAGACTTCAAGCGTAAAAGAACGAATTCAAATTGTAAAATACCCAGTACTGATTTTTATTCGTAAATTTCGTTAGAAAATACCTAATAATCAACTAATTACACCTAACTAAGTTAGATGCGAGCTAGATCTGTTGATATGTGTAGGTATTTTTATAGCAAATATGCATTTTCTTCCGCCTTAATTTTTAAAAAGTTTTTGTCGGCCTTAAAATAATGCCTTAAAGTATAAGCAAATAATTGGCAAGGGCGTTGGTTTCTTATTAGAGGTTTCTGAAGTTTTTATTGTTTCTACAGTTTTTTTTTCTTGGAAGATAAATCACCCCGATGAAAATTATTACGATCCAATTAATTATCCTCGCACACATATGCTAACTGTTAGAGTCTGCCTATCCTGTATAATGGACTAATCCAACCGTTAATAGCTCATTAAAATCTCTGATTATTGTCTATGATTCAATGAAAATCATGGATTCAGTCAGTTTAGAAATAAAAGAGAATATGAGAATTTAGGCGTGATCTTCAATCATATCGGACTTTTTTGTTTCAGAAAGAAAAAGATCAAGTGATGAAAACCAGCTTGTGGCTTGAACAGGTAAGAAAAAAGAAGCTACTCAGAGAACAACAAGGTCCTCACCGGGTTCAAGGTATTTAACTAGTTCACATGTAAAGGATGAATGACAGGTGCTCGATCGTTAAATTAATAAATTGAGGATTCTTACGAACTGAACTATCGTCTAAAAAACTGTAAAGGTTCTTTTTTCTTATGTGGATTTTTCCATTGTGCTCCACATGCGAGCTTAAAAAAAAATTGGATGCATTGCTTAGATAAACTTTCTTTAAAAGCAGTTTTGAGTTAATTTGGTACTACGTTTAAACTTTCAGCCCATAAGAAACGAGCATTTTACGCCCATAATCGAGGACAATAAGCCGACGTGACTTCAAACCGAAGGGAAAACACTAAATTTCCAACTGTTAGATTTCAGCTTTGAAAAACGAATCAAGTTTTGGCCATAATAGTTTTTGGTAACGATGTTCAATTTGTGGCAGGCGCGGATCTAGTAATTTCTCGAGGAGGGGGATCTTCAAAAGTTTTTGAAAGTTTTGTCGACCTCTTTTTGTTTTAGGAAACTAAATTGATTTTTGAGCTCTCCCAAATCACAATAAAGACCCTAATGTGACAAAATTATCTGCGCCGCAGGCAAATTTTTGATTAAAAAAAAACAGGCCAAAAAGGGCGTTTTTATGCACTTTTTGGACAAATTCGACAAAAAATTGCGTTCTTTCGGCGCGCGCTCCCTCCCTTAAATTAGAATGGATTGGCACCTAAAGCGCCTTATAAAAAATTTTAAGGTCAGTCAGCCAAAAATGGATATCTCTAAACAGTACAGAGGGGGACCCTTTGGGTCGGCAAGGGGTCTAATTCCTGAGGAAAGGTGTCAGCCCCCCCTAATTCCGCTACTGTTTTGAGGACAGCATCTTCTAGTTACATCAGCCAGATTTTGAAGTGTAAACGTTTATGAGAGATGAAAACTTCTTCAACAATGTTCATTTTCTGGCGCAGAGACAATTCAGCCGCAGACAATTCAGCCAACTTTGAATACAAACAATTCAACTAAAACAACTCAGACAATTCAGCCGAAGACAATTCGACCAACATAAAATAACAAGAGTAGATCAAAGAAATAATTAAGTTTTTTAACTTGATTAGAGTCAGAAGGCTTTCATCACTTTAACAATAAAATTTGAAACAAAAAATAAAAAATATCAAAAATCAAAAAATTTTGCTGAGCAAAAAGTCTTAGAATATATGTAAATTGAAGGTACAAAACTTTATATACTTCTGTATAAGGTCTCGATTGTAATTATTTGCGTTTTGCACGAGTTTTTCATTGGCGATTGAATTTTTGGGCTTCGATTTTTTTATGATATCACCGGCCGTCAGTCTCTCTACGTTAAATTTGGCACTTTTTGTTTCATCTTCGAAATGGGTGATGAGCTTGGCGAGGGCTGGGTGTTTTGTCGGCAAAAAGTTTTCAAAGCTGCCATTCCATGCCTCCAATGTTTTATTTGTACGAGGTTCTCCGCTGAACACCCTATTAAAAACGTTCCAATCGGCATGGTTTGACGAGTCTGTTTCTTCGACGAGCACCAATATAAATGTCTTCAAAGTAGTCCGCTAGACTCTGAAAATCTTCTGAAGGATCCTTATTTTGCAGCTCTTCAATTGCGAAAGTTACATTGTCAAAGGGAACGAGTGCCAAGCAAATCTTTTGTTTGAGATTTAGTCGAAACTTGTCACCGTCCAGGTACTTGCTTGCAAATCCATGATTTTGTACATTGTGCCGTACTGCCTGGCCCAAGTGGAAAAATAACAAAATTGAAATTTGTATCAGGCGGCATTGTTTCAATGGCGTTGCAAACAGCGGCCTCAAAATCAAAATCTACTTTTTCCGATTTGCTTTAAGCAGCCGAAAACTTTTTCATATGTGTGTTCTGTCTTGCTGGGCAACAGAGCGAACACTATGGGTGTAAGATTGTTTTCGATCACACCATTTATGGTATAAACTTGGTAGAAGACATCTGGTGCCACGAAAAACTTTCCGTCGCAATAAAAAATTTCTTACTGAGAAAAAAAATCGAGGGCAGGCAATGTTGCAAATACCAAAAATTGATTGTCTGACTTACCAGAATCGAAATATAAGAACGTGTCACTGCTGTGTGTAAATTTGAGAGGCTCAGGAGTTTAATCGTTGCTCTCAAAGGTTTTTGGCTTTTGTGTTGTTTCTAAAGCTTGCTGCCTTATTCGGTTTATATCGAAGAGATGCTGAGTAACTCGGTTTTGTCGGCTCTGCATAAAGAGGCAAGTCAGTTTAGGCGTTAAAAACAATATGTCGGGGAATGTTACCAGTGCTTAGAGCTTTTTCTTGAACTTCTTTAGCAAGTTTCTCAATTTGAATTTTGAGTTTTTTGCCGTTTCTCCAAATACAAACTATTTGTCCTCATACAACGTTGAATATGTAAATGAATCAACTAAGTTCAAATGCAGGCTTTAGTCTCAGTTTTAGTTTCTGGTTTGGCAATGTTTCAACCGCAATTAGTTTATCTTTCAAAGAAGTTTACTAACCAAATTTCCCGTTAGGCGATTGCACCCTCCCCCGCCTAAGGCACGATAAGATATCAGCGTAACTGTGTGGCCAGTACGTGGGAGGGATAGTCAACCCTTTAAACGATATCCTTTTTGATCGCATGTAAGTTTCTCAATAATTTCGGGTCTGCTTTCCTGTAAATTGGTTTGTTTTTAAGTATTGCGCACTTCTTTGTTGAGTTTGATTTTTACTTAGCCACTACTCTAAATTTGAAAACACTGTGGTCTGCATAAAAATCTAATATTTTAAGATAATTTTTGAGTTTGTGAATTTTGTTCGGTTCACATGCATTTGAAAGGAATTATTTATAATTCGTCTAATTTTTTCGCATGTGAAAAGATTGCACGTTTCAAAATTTAAAACTGTCTGATAAGTCTTGGGCCGAATTGTCTCACTCATTTTGATTAAATTGTGTAACTTTGAAATTGGCTATGTTTGTCATCAAAATGTCTGCACAAGCATTTTTTTTAGCAATCATTAACATTATTTAAAGTTTCTAAATAAATGAAAAAGTCAATAATTGGAAAATTCATAAAAACTAAAAATTCTTTAATGAATTTCCAAATTAATTAAAAGTTTTGACCTATAGTGAAAGTTTTTGCGATGTGGCTGAAAATTCCGTCGGCCTCATGTCCAGCATTCATTTCATATTTGAGCAAACTTGAATTTAAATTGCCAGTGAACTCACAAATACACATTAATGTTCTGGTTACCGTCCTTACAAAGTGTAGCTTACGAAACTTGGTATGTCTGAGATGCTAATTGTGTGATCGCCTTTTTGCTGTTCCGATTTTCCCTGTAGAGGTGGGAAGAAACCACGGCTTAGAATTTTTAACAAGGTAGAGAGGAGACATGATGGTTTTTTGAAACCCTTCTGGTAATGAAAACCAAAAATTTTCTCTTTTAGTGTGAGAAAAAACGTTTCAAAAATTTAAAACGGTCTTATAAGTCTTGGGCCGAATTGTCTCACTCATTTTGATTAAATTGTCTAAATTTGAAATTGGCTATATTTGTCATCAAAATGTCTGCACGCGCATTTTTTGTAGCAATCATTAATATTATTTAAAGTTTCAAAATATATGAAAAAGTCAATAATTGGAAAATTCATAAAAACTAAAAATTCTTTAATGATTTTCCAAATTAATTAAAAGTTTTGACCTTTAGTGAAAGTTTTTGCGATGTGGCTGAAAATTCCGTCGGCTTCATCTCCAGCACTCATTTCACATTTGAGCAAACTTGAATTTAAATTGCCAGTGAACTCACAATTACACAGTAATGTTCTGGTTACCGTCCTTACAAAGTGTAGCTTACGAAACTTGGTATGTCTGAGATGCTAATTGTGTGATCGCCTTTTTGCTGTTCCGATTATCCCTGTAGAGGTGGGAAGAAACCACGGCTTAGGGTTTTTAACAAGGTAGAGAGGAGACATGATGGTATTTTGAAACCCTTCTGGTAATGAAAACCAAAATGTTTCTCTTTTAGTGTGAGAAAAAACGTCTGCATTTTTTTGACATGACAGCAACTCCTCAAAAAGCCCAAAAACAGACATTGTACTGGACTTTTGGACAACCTAATGAATTTTTCTCCTATCATAAGCTATTATCATTTTTAAAAAAGTATTAAAATCCATTATAATCGATCATAATGCATTTTTGTTTTCAATATAACCGATTATGTTTTGTACATGAAATCCATAAAAAAATCATCGATTAATTGCATAGGTATTTACTCTACTTTCTGCATTTTCTGTAGAACTCGAACCCGAACGAATATCCCCTCCCCCTGCTGCTCCCCCTCTGTTGTTCACCCCCCGCTACGCGCCACCACCCCCCCTCCCCCAAGTCTTTCACCAAAAACCTGCGTCAACATCCTCCTCTAACACGTTTAACCCCCTCCCCCGTGTTTAAACCCACGCCCACGCGTTTCGCAGGTTTTCTTCTCTGTTGAGATATTTCACGTGGTATTCGAAAAAAAATTATTAAAAATTTTTGTGATAAATACATCATAAATGACAAAAAGCTTTTCATACCAATTTCATTATGGGAAATATTTGTCATACACTTCCAATATATGGAAAAATGGTTATCCTATTTTTATAATGAAAAAATGCTTATCATACAGTTTCATATATAAAAAAACGCTCACCGTAGAGTTTTCACAATTTTTGTTCATATGGAATTGTACGAAATTGCATGACAAGCATTTTCCATAGACAAAACTTGTAGGATATGCATTTTGGACAACACGGGAAGGCTGTAAATTGTTTTAAAATAGAAAACTCAGAAGAAATGATTATTTTACTATCTACGGCATACATACAGTTTTTCCCCATTTAACTTTCAGACTCTATAAAAAGTCAAAGATTAACACACTCAATTACTTTTCAATCTAATCTAATAGTCAGCTTGATGGTTGTTTCATGTTAATTGACAGATTGATTCTCTGT